TATTTAAAGAGCTCTGGGTGTCAGGGGTACACATACCCAAATCTGACCCGACTTGGGTTTTCGAGTTGAACATATTTTATACTCTATCGTTATGCAACTTACTTGGGTTTTCGAGTTGAACATATTTTATACTCTATCGTTATGCAACTTACATATTAATTACTAAACTTATATTGTTCTATTCTATGCATTGTTTTTACCCAAGCATGGATTTCTCGTGATCCCCCCTTAGCCCCCTAACATGGTTCCCCATGTTCTCTAAACAATAATTATATCTAATCACATCTAACAATTGTATCATTTATCATATACTGACTACACAGGTGCAGCTTGACCTGGTCTTTAACAAGCACAAGGCCTAACATTTCCAGGGTCTGCTTTTCCCAGGGCTTTTCAAACCTAACTTTCTTTCTAAGTCCCCGAATTTTCTAAGATTTTAAGGCCTTTTACTATCATCCTTAGCTTGATGGGAGCATACCTCTGCCACGAAGAAAGAGTTTAAGCAGCAGGACAGTATTTCTTTGTTTATTTTTTTAAGATGCACTCAATTAAGATGAGTAGCCACTGTGTCATATATGTATCATCCATGACACAGAAAATTAATGCTTTTTCCCTAAACATGAGGAAGTAAATTCTGTAAGTAGATACAGACAATGAGTAAATTTCTAATATAGTAAATAATCAGTAAATTTCTGAAGCAGATATAACTTCTGGGGGTGACAGTGTCTCCTGAAATGCTGAAGTCCAGGAGAGGAATATTATTTCTTTTTGTTCTTTCAGGTCTGGGAAATAAATAAAAAAGTGCGTTCCAGAACAAACCAGCAACCAAACCTTTCATGCAGCATCCTTCGTGTCCTTGTAGCTGATTCACTTTGTGGTTTTTTACCTGTCTTCCCTAAAGTGTTCCCCTCCAGGCCAAAGCCATGTCCAAGAATTAGCTGTGGCTTAATTCCAGTCACTCACATGGCTCTGCAAATTTAGCAAAAATGTGAGTATCAGCATCACTCTAGCAAAACTGTAGCTGCTGGAGTGACAGATTTGTCACAGCTGTGAGGTCTGATCTCTCCTGGCAGGGTCTGTGTGTGCTGTCTGCTTCTGCACACTGAAGAGAACACCCAAGTCCCCAGTGGCACCGCTACAAGCAGCTTGCCTGTGGCAAAAAGAGAGTTGGTGTGATGAGGGAAAGCCCTGAAATCCTCCTTGGAACCTGTCAGATCAACACCAATGACAATGGAAAAGACACTTCTGGTCAAAACAGAATACAGGCTTTCATCAAGCACCTGGAGATGAATCTGTTTCAATGCAGCCACAGATTTTGAAATAAAATGCCTATTCCAGCTGCAGTTCATGATAAAAAATTATGGTGCCATCTTTCAACCACCAGATTTAACCTGTTCAATTTGCAGACACTTTTGTTGTGGATTCAGGTGTTGCAAGCCAGGCCCAGGATGGGCATTGAGAAACAAACAGCTTTTTACCTGGGATAAACATTGCTCACTGCCACTATCACAGACCTGACTGAACTGTCTCATTCTTTTACACCTAAGCTGATACTATTTATCTACATGTGTGAAGTGGGAAAAATGACTCAGTCCTTTCAGAAGTGCTTGTGTAGGGAATTCAGTCAGAGGAAAGTACTGAGTATTGCTGAAGCCTTTGAAAAGGAAACAAAGCTGGGAAAAAATCTGCCTCTGGCCTTTCAGTCTGTTCCTAGGACACCCCTACTCATGAGCAGTTCTGATCCCAGTTTTCCACCGTTTAACGACACAGCAGAAGAGAAAGGAAAAGGAAAAGTAGCCACAGAGCCACAGCAGCATCTGCTCATTGCCTATCATGAAAGCTGTGTCTCCAGAGCATTTATGGGACCCTGCCAAGTGAAATATCTGTTTGTCTGCCAATGCTGCTCTGGAGGACAGTGCCATTCTGGCAGAGAGGCTTTGATCCTTTCTGAAGTTCAGTCATTAAATCATTAAATGGTTTGGGTTGGAAGGGACCTTAAAGATCATCCAGTTCCATCCTGTGGGCAGGGACACCCTTCACTAGTTCAGGGCAACCAAAATTTTTCTGGGCATTTTCATTCATATATTTGCATGGGTTTGACCTAAATAAAGAATAAAAGTGTGTATATGTATACACTCATATATACATGTTAACTATAGCTCTATAGTTCTATTAAAGCCATAGAAAACGACTGCCCTGGGCAGCCTGTTCCAATGTCTGTCAGGAGGAATTTTTCCCTAATACTCAACCTAAACCTCCTTGGGCAGCTTGAGGCCATTTCCTCTTGTCCTATTGCTCATTACATGTGAGAGGAAGCTGAAACACAGGGTTGGACCTGTCAGGGAGTTGTAAGAGTCAAAAGGTTCCTGCCTGAGCCTCCTTTTCTCCAGGCTGAGCCCTGCCTTGCTCCCCAGCTCCCTCAGCAGATGCTGGTACTGCAGACCCTTCCCCAGCTCTGTTCTCTTCTTTGGACATCCTCCAGCCCCTCAATGTCCTTGTTTTGTGGGACCCAAAAAAGGCTCTCAATAAACAGACACCGACGTTTTGCAGACAAATAAATGCCTTTATTAGCAGGGACATGTAAGCAGTGAAGCAGCTATCTCCCAGAATACTGTAAACAATGCTGTTGTGCAGAGGTAGAACGGCTGGCTGTAAGCCTAGGCTGTATTTCAGCTGCTGGCCCTCGATCCACAGGGGAGCAGCTTCACAAAAGCTTCAATTGGGCTGATAATTAGTAATAGCTGCCGGCGTGTGGCTGCTGCTGGGCGCCTGCCCCGCAGACAAGTGCTCCCCCAGCTCACAGTGTTGTACAGGCTGGCTGCTGGATGGAGTGAGAACACCCTTTTTTCATTCAGATAGAGTTTTTAAGGAATCACTGAGGTAAATCATTATGATACAGGTTTGGTAACCTGAATATCAAACCCCAGAGGAGAAACCCAATCAGGCTATTGAATATGCCTCAACAGCCTTTGGAAATATAACTCATCCCACCCTGATGGGTCGAAGTGCAAGGAAAAGGACGCCAGAACTTAACAAATCCTCAGTTTCCTACTGTTGTGTTTAAGCACACATTTCTAATTTGCAAAACAGGATGTTGCTGTAGACATTTTTCGTTAGCTCCTGCTGAGGAATTAGCTGTTATTACCAGCTTTTCAATGGGGAAAAAAAGATGATGTTACTTCTAATAAAACTGTTCAAAAGGAAATAAGGGGCTTGTCTTTGAACAGAGAAATAATGGCTTGTAAAAAGGAATTTAATTTATACAAATCAATTATTTGTTGCTTACTACATTTTTGAAGATTGTAGGACCAATGTAGTGGCAAGAGGTTGCAATATAACAAAAACCCTTGAAAGCTATTTCTTATGTTCCTTTGAAAGACAAACACACAAACGAACAACCCAAACCAAAACGATAAACGACTAAACCCAAATATCTGGAGCTTCAGGCAGGCACATTGTATCCAAAAGAGAATCCAGGCTCAGTCTGGGAAACTGATGCAAAATGGAGGGGTTCTGTAAAGTTTTGATGGCTAACTACAGGAGAAATAGACACTTTTGTTCCGTGAAAGTTGTTTGGACATGGTTATCTGTTTCCTTATCTATGCCACAATCTGTGCATGTTCTCAGCAAGTCAAATTCTTCAGATGTGTTCAGGCAAGTTGTTCTCATATTTTTAATGAGATCCACAGCCTCTGCCTGCCCCTCCTGCTAGACATGAATGAAATGGCCTCAGTGACATGCAGGAATTCCAAAATGACTCAACTTTTCTCAAGCCATTAAAAAGTTCATTTCTCCTTCTGGGATTTCAGAGCAGGCAACTTGTAACAGCAATATGATGTTCACTGCAAAGCAGAATTTACCTGTGTTTCAGAAGAATGCAAACAAACTGAAAGGCAGAAAAATGCCTTAATTTCAGGGGTCACCAAACTGTTCTAGTGGCCTAGAGGTATTTTTATTTCTTCTAAACTTGGTACTGACTGTGTTAGCGTTCAGGAACGCATAATCATGGAATGATTATATGAAGGTGCTTTATTAAAGAGCTCTGGGTGTCAAGGTGTCACACACCCAAATCTGACCTGATTTGGTTTTGAGTTGAACATGTACATATGCTCTATCGTTATACAACTTACATATTAATTATTAAACTTACATTCTTCTATTGTATACAATGATTTTACCCAAGCATGGATTTCTCGTGATCCCCCCTCAAACCCCTAACATTGTTCCTCATGTTCTTTAAACAATAATTATATCTAATCACATCTAACAATTGTATCCTTTATCATATACTGACTACACAGCTGCAGTTTCACATGATCTCAGCAAGCAGAAGGCCTAACATTTCCCAGGGCCTACTTTTAACACTTTTCCCAGGGCTTGCCAAGCCTAACTTTCTTTCCAACTCCCCGAATTTTCTAAGATTTTAAAATCTTTTACTATCAGCTGCACGTTATTGTACAGACAACCAGACTTACCTTGCAATAATGTGGATTTCAAAAATTCTAAATTCAATCTCCTGCATGTGCCTTGCTGGAGTTTTGATAAACTCTCACGTGCAGATTACATTTCTCGTTCCATTATGAACATTACAAAAGTTGGTTGTACAAAATCAAAAGCTTGCTGATTTCTAGCTTTCCTTTTTATTCCTGGACCTCCCCAGTATGAAAGAAAAGGGAAGCTTATAACCAAAGAAAATGCTACAAATTAGTATACTTCATCACTACAGCAAGTACTTAATATCTTGATAGCAAGTAGTTAATAGATAGGATGAGACATCTTGAATGGGTAGAATACATTATCCTGTTTGAGAAAGTGACTGTGGCCAGGCAAAGCACAATTTGAAGTCAGTGACTTACTCTGGACCAAAACAGAAAGAAAGACAGAAAGACAGTGAGAAAGACAGAAAGACAGAGAGAAAGAGAGACAGAGAGAAAGAGAGACAGAGAGAAAGAGAGAAGAATCGTGTTAATGACTATTTAATGCCTCTTTCTTTTACAGCATATTAATTGGAGGTTGGTGTTAGTACCAACAGAGACTGCACTTCTCAGCTGGAGTTCTTTGGTAAGTTCTTTTGGTAAGGCTGCGATTGGTGTGTGAATTTTCACAGCCCTTGGGACAGTAATGGAGCACCAAAATATACCTCATTTGGCATTACCAGACTGAGGGGGAAACACCCCAAACCAATACAAAACATTAAATAACAGCCAAACCAAACCAAACCAAACCAAACCACTAAAATTTCTGTGAGAGTGCAGAGAATACACGCAGTCTTGAAGTGGATGGTGCTGCTCTCCTGAGGCTTTGGCATGCTCAAATTTTGTGACACTGCTCAGCTGTGATGTGGCGCAGATGATTCAGTGCTCACTCCAGCACACGGGTGTCTGACTGTCACTGAGGTTCCTATAATATCATTCTGTCATTATAAATAAGACTCTAGTATTTGAATTTTATGAGCCCTGTGTGGGCTCTCAGTTGCCATGGCATTAGCTCTGCTGACTGGGTTCAGTGGAAGCACAGCACCACAGCTGCCAAGGGTCTGATCCAACAACATGTTGTAAAAAAAGGTTAATGTCAGTGTGGTTTCAGAAAGGAACCTCAAGCCCTTAACCTACTTATTGCCATTTGCCACTGGTCACACAACATGACTGACATGAGGATCTGAACTGAGAGGAGCTAAAGCTTGGTACTGGACATCTTGCTGGGAACACTGATATATGAAAATATGTAAAAATCACTGATTTATCTTACTTGCCTTTTGATTTTTAAATGCAGAGTTTAAACAGTGATCTTTTATACAGCCAATCAACTACCTCTCTGCCAAGGATGGCAAGCCAACTATCTGAAATGCATTCCTGCAGCTGAGACTACCACATTTTCAGCCTGGTTCTTCTTCAGGCCATGCAAATTTTTGGGCTATGAACCAGAAAATACAGATTAAAATATTATGATTAATATCTACTTCTATAAATACCTCAATATCATAAGATAGAGGAGGACCACCAGGAAAAGAAAATAAAAAAAGATTCATCTGCTAAGCTGTCAGGTTGAAAATTTAGCTACCCTACTAGAAAGGATTTGGGGATTGTTTACAATGAAGAAGAAACCTGCAAGTTAATGCAGGGGTTCATCATTGAAAATAAGTGAAAATGTTTTCATAACATTTTAAGAGCTCTCTAGACTTAGCGGGGATTAATGCATTTACAGCACTCTGAAATTGCATTTCAAGCAAAGGTAAAGCTTGTCCAAGCTTTTCTCCCAAGGCACTGAACAGTAATTTTGTCCAGTTGGAAGAAGTTATTAGAGGAAAAATGACAGACTTTTAGTTAACTTAAAGGCAAGCATTTTCAGCATGTAATTATTTTAGGCTTAAACTTGAGCAGCTGTAGATACAGCTACAATCTCAACAGAGGTGTGAAAAAACAAAAGCATACATAAGGTGTGAAAATCTTCCAAATCCATCCAAGAATTTGTGTGCTGTAATATTTACTTATATAATTATATTCCTAACACATACTATAATATAATTATTTAACTGATAATGCTGATACTATGAAGGCACATCAGATGAGAATTTAGCCATATGGAACTAAAGATTTAAGATAAAAAGTTGCTTGCTGGACAATATAATTGTTTACTAAATAGGTACATAACTTTTTAAAACGTGGATTATTGGGTGTGAGGGGTGGCAGGGCTCATCCTTCTATTTTTGTGCCTTTCCTCAGGAAAACACCATCCTGCTCACTGAGCTAGGTCATCAGATCTCTAACTATTAAATGATTTACCTCTCCTCTTTAAAAAAATAGAGAAAAATAATAAAATTTTAAAACTCACCCAAAACCCCAGAATCACAATATTTGTATGAAGGGAGGACCTAGACTAGAAAAATCTCAAAAATATCTTTTCAATGTTCAGCACAACCTCACTCATTCTGATCACTGTTAGTAGAAAAAAGTTTCATAGAGGTATTTCTTATGATAATGCTGAGAGAAAACTTCTAAAGCAAAGTATCTGGCCCAATTTCAGTAAGCCAGTAATTTTAAAGAGCTGTTTATCAAACCATATCTATTTTAATTTATTCCACGTGAAACAGAATCTTTCAAATTTAACAGAAACTTCCCAGTGGTGTGAGGAGAAGGTGTGACATTTCACAATATTATTCCTTTAGTTTTATGTACAAATGAACTGAACAGCAGAGCACCCTGAACGTTGATGGCCTTATCTGAAAAACACATATTTAACAAAGGCTTTCAGTCTCATTTTACAAGACTGACTACATCACAATTGTGTATATTTGTGATTTTTATACGAAAAATGTACTTTTCATGTGCTTTATGGGTAAGCTCATAAATCTGTCAATAATGCCATTCTTGAATTTGATGAGGAAAGTTTAATGAAGTGGAGTAAGAAATTAAATTATTACAGATGCCCCTAACTACAAATGGTTGCTACTACCTGAAGTTTTCTGTGTTTTTGTCTTACTTGATCAGAACAGGCCCTAATATTACTGCTGTTATTTCATCCTTGTCTTGATCCTAGCAAAATATGGGTCAATTATTTTTGTCTTTTACAAGTAATTATACAAATACATATGAAGTTGAAAGATGGGACATGTACATCAAACAGCACAGGAATGGGCAAACAGCAAAACTCCATATTTTGTTGGTGCTGAAAGCTGTGTACTGTACCCTTAACTGGAAACAAATTTAACACAAAGTGAAAACTATGGAGAGCTACTGAGTGCATGTAAACTAATCTTCACTCTGGAAGCCAAGACTTGCAAGCAGATGCCATGGAGCAGAACTGGAAGAAGTATCACATTCATTTCTACACTCTTGAGCTCACACTCCAGGATGCTGAGCTTGGGCTGGTCCAAAGTAATCAATTTTATGTGCTTGCATTCCAAATTTGCTATCTTAATTTAAATAAAAAAACCCTATTTTTATGCAATTCAGTTGGTGATGATATTTATTAAGGGTTTTTTTTTTGGTTTTTTTTCCTTAGAGAAAGGTGCTTAAGAAAAAAAGAATGAGAAAATTTGTGTTCTATGGAGACAATTTTTTGTTTTAAGGGCAGCACTGAGTCTCAGACAGTCTCAGGGCAGTCTGACTTTCTCTTACCGATTAAATACTAAGAAGACTAAATACTCATAAGAATAAATATTTGTAGCTGCAGTTCAATAACATGCTTATTAAGAAAGGGTGTAAAATCTGTATGTGCTGTAATTTTGATGGAATTTCTGTGAAATTTTGATCCTAGAATGGTTTACTTTACCCAAGGCCTATTTCAGCCATAATCTCAAATATATGGATATCCATGTGGTACAGTCAACAAAGTTCATTTCCAGTTACTTAGTGAGTTACTTTTATATTTTCATGCAGACACAGCTCCTGGAACAACTGCTGCTGACTCTTTTCTTCCTGGAAGGTCAGTTTGCTATCCAGTTATTTTGTTCAACACACATCTAGGATTTTTTGTCTTGCTGATTGTAACCCATCATGAAGTCTCCACTGACCTTACCTCCCAGGGTTCCCAGACAGATCCTTCTTTGTCACCACCTTAACCAGCAGCACCTTTGTGATGGTTCCCTCAAAAACTTAAAAATTGATGTGAACTGGCACAGGATAAAGAGAAATAACTTTTTCATTGTTCTTGTGTTGCGGCATGTGTTTATGTTAACAGTTTGTTAATTTACAGTTGTACAATTAAAAATTATCATTAAATTATATAACTATTTATATTATTATAATTATATTATATAATTTATAATATAATTATAATTAATTGTCATTATAATTAAATTTACTCCCATGTTCCCACATGTTTTTCCCAGACTTGGTTTGCCCCTAAGTTGCATCCTCCCCCATGATACCCATCATTGTAACACTACCTCTTGTTCCAACGCCTTCCCTATCCATCATTGTAAACCCTGCCCCTTGTTCTGGACCCTTCCCTATCAACCCCCACTTGGGCCAATCCCTGACTGTACCACCCCTTTGGAAATCCCCTAACCCTGGAGGCCCTATTGGCCCATGTGACCTCTCTTCTCCTCCCCTTTCTCCTCACTGGTTCCCATATTATAAACCCCGCCTCACACTCCTCCCCTGCTTGTTCTTGATTGGCTAAGATTTTGTATCACACCCCCCCCCCCCC